TGCTCATGCCAGATGTCGGAATGCCCCCCCCCCCAAACCAGCCAACCACACGGGTCAAGTTGTAGTTGGAATGTGAAGAAGTTGATTGCCAAACTACCCTCCCTCCAAGTAACATGGAACCTGACAGAGGGGTCCTGAAAGACAATTGTCCTTTTAAAGGGACCGGGTCCCTGTTAATTGGTGAGAGGGTACCCTTCGACGAAAGGATGTAGGGGGTGCTGGAGAAACTGTGCTTTCCAAGCCCTGGCAAAAGAGCCATTGCGCCCAAAGCTAGTTTGGGTTGTCAGCCACAGCAAGCTGCAACCAAGATTGGGGACATCTTAAATTAGGGAAACCCCCCCCCAAAAAAAAAAAAGAAAAGAAAAAAGCTCAGGAGATATCTCGCACCACCCCGCAGCCCTCGCAGAACCTCGTGGAACCCTGGTGGAACCCTCGTGGAACCCTCGTGGAACCTTACCTCAGGGACGCCCCGGACCACCCCGGAGCCTATCTGGGCTGAGACCCCAAAGCTTTCAGCTGTTGGGGAAAAACATCTTGGTAAAATAGTTAGGGAACCCCCCCCCCAAAACAAAAAAAAACTCAGGTGATATCCCCAACAGCACGCGGTTCTCTTTTTAGTGCTCGCACCCTCGCAAAACCTCATGGAACCCTCGTGGAACCTGGTGGAACCCTGGTGGAGCCCTCGTGGAACCTTACCTCAGGGCCGCCCCGGACCACCCCGGAGCCTATCTGGGCTGAGACCCCAAAGCTTTCAGCTGTTGGGGAAAAATCTTGGTAAAATAGTTAGGGAACCCCCCCCCAAAACAAAAAAAAACTCAGGTGATATCCCCAACAGCACGCGGTTCTCTTTTTAGTGCTCGCACCCTCGCAAAACCTCATGGAACCCTCGTGGAACCTGGTGGAACCCTGGTGGAGCCCTCGTGGAACCTTACCTCAGGGCCGCCCCGGACCACCCCGGAGCCTATCTGGGCTGAGACCCCAAAGCTTTCAGCTGTTGGGGAAAAATCTTGGTAAAATAGTTAGGGAACCCCCCCCCAAAACAAAAAAAAACTCAGGTGATATCCCCAACAGCACGCGGTTCTCTTTTTAGTGCTCGCACCCTCGCAAAACCTCATGGAACCCTCGTGGAACCTGGTGGAACCCTGGTGGAGCCCTCGTGGAACCTTACCTCAGGGCCGCCCCGGACCACCCCGGAGCCTATCTGGGCTGAGACCCCAAAGCTTTCAGCTGTTGGGGAAAAAACATCTTGGTAAAATAGTTAGGGACGCCCCCCCCCAACAAAAAATGCTGTCCCCTTGGCTTCCCTGGCCTACCTTCAACCAAAACGGGCTCGCAAGACCGAAGACTCCGTGTGGCGCGCCTCCAGGAGGCGAAGCGCCTCCCGCCAGCGCAGCGCCCGCTCGCAGCCCGTGATGGCGGCGTTAAAGCCTGGCGGAGTGGCGGACTCTGATCACGCTCATGGCGGGGGGCCGGGGGGAGGGGGTGGAGCGGGTGGAGGGGGTGGAGGGGGTGGGTGGATGGGGGTGGGTGGGATGCGGGGGGTGGGGTGAGGGGGGGGGGGGGGCCAACTTGAAGAGGCCTGGGAACATCACGAAAGCAAGTGCAATCCAGTGATTTGTGTGTTCTAGGCTTCCACGTTAAAATGGGTGATTGGCTGCGTGATTGATGTCTTTTGATACTTCCTCTAGGTGAGGATTCACACAAATGATACTGCAAAAACCAATCAAAAGAGGTAAACCCAGGCAACCAGAGTCACTTTGCAGGGTTCGGGCTATCATGTAGCAACCGCGCCCCGTTTTGAGCCAAGGAGCTAATGACATCTGCTCGGCCCTCGGCACGGAGTCTCGCAAGCAAGGCCACCTCGCACGGGAACCGCCCGCTGGTGCGAGCAAAAGCCGGAGAGGCGCGTTTTCTGAAGCTTGCTGGTTGCCAGGGATGAGAACGAGCGAAACAAAGCCCAACTGTAGGTGTCCGGATCACTCCTATTTTTTGAGACCACGGCAAACGCCCCAGCCAAATTCTGTTTGAGCCACAGCCAAAAGGACACCAACCATTTGGGGCGTTCCCCATTTTGAGACATACCCAGATAGGTCTCCATTTCAGGCCACATATTCTCACGCGTCTCCTAAATAGGATGTGGAATCCCACCTAGGGGTCCCTGGAATTTGGCTATTGCCGCCATCGCAGAATGGCACCTTGGTAAATGGAAAGACTAAAACCTGCGTTTTGCCCTGGCTGCTTTATTTTGAGCTACACCGGGCAAGTGATGTTTGCTCAGGCAAGGTCAATCTGGGTATGTTAAAATGAGAAACCCCAAAATGCTTGGTTTTCTGTTGCTCTCCCTTCGAACCAACCTCAAAATGGAACCAAAGACTAAAACCTGCGTCACCAACTTGTACCCCTTTTGGCGCCTTTTGGTCTCACACCCTGGTCTCCCTTCCAACCGTAACCCTCGTCGCGCAGAGCCAAGCGCTCGCCGGGCCGCGGCGCGCTGCCACTGGTGGCCCTCGGCCAGGGCGGTGAGGCCGGCGTTGTGGCCTCGCTTCGAATCGCCGGCGGCGAAGTTCCGAAGGTCGGGTGCGTCTAGGGCGCTTCGTTTCGGTTTTGTTGGGATGGCTTGAAAGGGAAGCCAAAGGAAGTTGGTCATTTTGGACGGGCCAAAACAGAATAGTGTGATAGATGCATGAAAAGTATCAGAATACTGGTGTTGCGTCTTCTCTTTCGGAATTTTAAATCAGAGTCAAGGGGTCATGTTGAAGCTCTTCAATTGGTCAAAATTAGACCGGGGTCCAAAGAAAAGCAACCCTATTTTGACCGCACCATGTATGCCAAGGTTGAAGCTCCTTATCGCCATGATCATTGTCCTCTTAGGAATCCACACCACATGGTCTGAGCCCCCTAATTATGTCCCCTTCAAGAGAATTATGATGTGGGAAACATCCACCCAATTCATCCGCACGGCTTTTTCATCCATGAGGTTCTTAATCCAGAAAGCTCACCATTATGCGTTTTAAGCGGTCCAGCCCATAGACATACCGGCTTCAAGTCCGTTGGTACAGGGGATCCATAGGTTTTGCTGTTGGTCCCTTGAACCCCGAGACATCTAAGGCCAGTACCCAACGTTGAACAAGAGGGAAGGGGGGGGCCTCTGCATGCCATGCGCATTGAATGCTTCGCTCGCCGGGTATGATCCATGTGCAATGGACAATATGCACTCATGCATGCCTGATGCCAAAATCTGCTTGGTTTACCCCTTGCCCTATATTGGTTGGGCCCTCTGCCCTAGTTGCACGTTTGAACCGCCTTTGAAACAAACGCGGCTTTTCCCGTCGGGGCCGCGCCCGTGTCCCCATTTCGGCCCTCCCAGCCAGACGCGCCGGGCCACACACGAGGTCCGGCCGGACGTCGAACTCGTCGGCGCTGAGCACGCGGAGGGCCTCTTGCCAGCGCTGGAGCCGAGCAAAGGCGCTGATGCCGCCGGCGAGGCAAATCCTCGGCTCGTCGGCACTCGACGTCGGAGTCGGCACGTCGGCGCGTCGGCAGGTCCCAAAGGGAGTCACATGGGTGGCTCGTCTTTTAAGGGGTTTGCCTTTGTGGTTGGTGTTCTGAAGGGAAACCAACCGGAAACCCAGTTTCGGGGGTCACATCCACATGATCCCAAAGTGTGAGGGAAAACTGGAAGGTACCGGTCTCCATAAAGCAAGTGGTGCAAGTGGGGCGAGGAAATCGGATGCAAGGCACTTGGACTTGCTGGATTGAGGAAATCACCCTGAATCTGGGGGGCGAATGGGAGTTGGCAAGGATTTAGGTGTCCTTGATGAGAAGGAGTCCCATTCGAGTATTTGGCCGTGGTTGCCAGAAATAGGGTAACCCCAAAAAGGATTGCCCGATCGGTTATTTTTGGAAACAAGGACTAAAACCTGCGGTCCATATCCTGGAGGATTAATTTGACCCATACCCATTTGAGCTGGAATGATTCCGAATCTTTGGGAACACGGACCTTCCACTCCTCTCAAGCCACTACTCTGGCGGGCATTTGCTGCAAGGAAGAGATACATGTTGGCGCCCCCCATGTTGGGTACGTCTGTGGCTGATTGGGGACTTGGTGATGAAACAGATCGGGGGGGGGAGAGAAGGAAAAACATATCCTTATTAAGGATGGCCTTTTGGAAACATAGATGGGTTTCCCTGGTAAATGGAATGAAACCCATCTAAACCAGTGCCATCCATTTCTAGTCAAACTAACCTAACAAGGACACCTACAGTCCTGAGACAACCCGCGGCCATGACTTGACTTCCCAACTCTCCAGGGCGCAAGTCGGGCGCCACACGCTCCAGGCGCATGTCATCCAGCAACTGCACCACCCACTGCCAGTGCTGGCTCCTGCGCACGGAGAGAAATTGGATTGGCCGCTCCCTCTATCCCAGACACCAGGTGCCAAACCATCTGCATGACTCAAAGCCACTTTGAAGAAAGGTGCCCTGGCAAAGAAAGTGAGCCTAAAACCTCCCCTTTTTCGGGTACTGTAGGGAACATGGACAACCATGTGAGCGGGATTGACAGAAAGTAGCAAGCTTGCCCAGCATCTGCCCAAGGATTCCGCGCGGATTACCAAGGTTTGCCAAACATCTCATTGAACTGTAATTCATGACGCTCTTTCAATATTCTTCACGTCCCTGTCGCATGGCCAAGAGATATGTCGCTTCGTGCCAAACGTGGAACGCAGCTGGGTACGTGTCAAACTAGGGGGCTCCCCAAAATGGCGTTCCTTGCGGTGGCCGCTTTACACCCACACAGAAGACAGGGCACCCTGAAAACACACAAATCAGCAGGCAGCACTGCTTGCTTCAAGCGCCTTTCCGCGGCATTGATGGCGGCTGTGTAGCTCACAGTATCCTCAACGGTAGTGCCTATGAAGAAATTCTCAGGCGGATACGGTATGTGTCAAAATCGCGGGGGCCCATATTTTCTTGGTGGCTTGCGTTTGGCTTCCTTTCAAACCAGGCTGAAAAACTGTACCGTCAAACACAGACACCAACGATCCGGAGCCTCGCGATGGGTTCCACAAGGTTCCGAGATTTCTTCTCTGCAGCCCAAATGTATCCAAGGGACGGATCCTGTCCTAAAGGAGTGACCACTGGCATGGGCTCAACATATTTTGGTTGGACCATGGCTCATGTCCAAACAGGGAACCTCCTCACAAAAATAATACCATTGGGTTGTAGAGCTCTATCATGACGCAACACCTCACCCTGTCAGTGATATCACTTTAGGGGCATTCCCATGACGACTTCACTTGGAAATGGACTCCCAAGGTGGTTAATAGAAAGTAGCCCGCCCTCCTCACCAGATTGTCCGTTGTTGACAATGGTCCATGAACTGACCCCCTTATTTTACCACCATCAAAGTCACCGCGGGATAGAGCGAAACCACCAACAGTTTCTGACTTTGATAACCCTAGAAACAGCCAACATGACCCCAGAATCAACCAGACGTGAGATCCGACTCTAACTTTCCTGCGGGTCGACACCGCATTCACGCGCTCCGCCGGGGGCATCAACAGGATCTCCACTCGGTCATTTTCATGATTCCCTTAGAACTTGTTATCATTGTTGATACACCATATAGACCCTATTCAGGAGTAAAACCGGTGTTTTGGCCATGGTGTATCATGCAGAATCTTCGTCACAAGCTATCATGAGACAACCAAACAAAGCTTACAGTTCACACCAAATCGCTCGAAAAGCTTGGCGAGGTCCGTTTTTAATGCCGAGTCGCCCGCTCTCTCATGGAGGCAAAGAGCTCAAGGACCTACCAGCGGGCATTGCGGCCGTCTAAACACCCGTCGTCTTGGTCGGCGAAACAAATCAAAGAGTAACCACCACAAAGAGGTCACCACCACAAACCAAAAGTCAATCAAAGAGGTCAAATCAAAGAGCTAGCGACAAAAGACCCGAACCACCCCCCTCACCTGATAATCAAAGCCCGGTATCAAAATGGTTTACCCAGAACCGTGTAAAGAATTAAGAAGGCGGATATCCGCAGCTATTTATTGTTGGGATTATCGCTTACTAACCTTCATCTACCCGGGTTTTGAGCCGGTGGCTCACATGCCCCTGGTCGCCCGCATTCCCTCCTTGCCTGGCGCCAGCGAGGCCGCAGTGCACGCAGCGCAGTGTTGTGCGTCAGAAGCTCTGGGTCCACCTCAAGCGAAGTAGCGACGGCCACTAAGAAAACAGATTATATAGTTAACAAATATGTGCCTATACATATATATATATATATATTAGATTTATGTATGTATTCATTCATTCATTCATTCATTCATTCATTCATTCATTCTCACTCATTCGCTCGTTCGTTCGTTCGTTCCTTCGTTCGTTCGTTCGTTCCTTCGTTCCTTCGTTCCTTCGTTCCTTCATTCCTTCATTCCTTCATTCCTTCATTCCTTCATTCCTTCGTTCCTTCATTCCTTCATTCCTTCATTCCTTCATTCCTTCATTCCTTCCTTCCTTCATTCCTTCATTCCTTCATTCCTTCATGCCTTCATTCCTTCATTCCTTCATGCCTTCATGCCTTCATTCCTTCATTCCTTCATTCCTTCATTCCTTCATGCCTTCATTCCTTCATTCCTTCATGCCTTCATGCCTTCATTCCTTCATTCCTTCATTCCTTCATTCCTTCCTTCCTTCCTTCCTTCCTTCCTTCCTTCCTTCATTCCTTCATTCCTTCATTCCTTCATTCCTTCATTCCTTCATTCCTTCATTCCTTCATTCCTTCATTCCTTCATTCCTTCATTCCTTCATTCCTTCATTCCTTCATTCCTTCATTCCTTCCTTCCTTCCTTCATTCATTCGTTCATTCGTTCGTTCATTCATTCATTCATTCCTTCATTCCTTCCTTCCTTCCTTCATTCATTCGTTCATTCGTTCGTTCATTCATTCATTCATTCATTCATTCATTCATTCATTCATTCATTCATTCATTCATTCATTCATTCATTCATTCATTCATTCATGCATGCATGCATGCATGCATGCATTCATTCATTCATTCATTCATTCATTCATTCATTCATTCATTCATTCATTCATTCATTCATTCATTCATTCATTCATTCATTGGTTTATTCATTTATTATATGTATTAGTTTATTATATTGTTCATTTATCTATTCACTTAGTCATTTATTTATTTTGTTTTTATTTGTCGTCTTATATGTATTGATGTAAAATGCATTAAATCATGTTATTCTCCCATGTTCTCGTGAGTGTGACAATCATAGTGTGTTTGATTCGTCGGAGATAAGGTGACATTAATCACGGAATCTGATGATCGGAAGGCGTGAGACACGCACTTCCTGAACTGGGGGAAAAGCACGAGTCTCCTTTCCAGGATGACAAAACGGAGGTTGTGCGGTTGTGCCTTCCACTTTCACCACTAGTGCCCCACTGGACATGGGACCAGAGAGTGTCCTGGCTTCGGGAAATCTACAGAGTCGCAAGACTTGCAACCATCACAAGGACCTTGAAGGGCCTTCCGGACAGCTTGAGGACATGTCTAAAGCGCGAAACGAGTTGGGAAACCTTCTGCCTGTGCCCATAGGCCCGGCTTGCGAAGGGAAGTTGAGTGGTCTTATAGTCCCACCCCAACTTAGGGTAAGCAGCTGTGGCTTACTCATAGGAGCGGTTGCCGAAATAGTGGACTTCTGGATATTCCTTCTGCATGTCATCAGGTCCCAATAAGGGATAACCAATATCCTTGCCTGGCAGAATTCGGCTCCCCGGTTTGCACGTCATCCCCTTGACATGCTGGTAGTGCTGGTGGGATATGTCAAATTTGGGGCACCCCAAAACTAAGATGCTCACTGGAAACCAACGGGGAAAAAAAAAAGAGCTATTTGGCGGGCCCACATTCAGACACGCTGGATGGTAGTGACTGCCGACTCTGTGGGATGGTCATGTGGGGATCTTTTTTGAGGAATCGAAACCCCCCTAAAACGGCTTAACGGTTTTCCTTTTGGTTTCCCCCCAACCAATTCCCAGAGTAACCGGACAAAAAAAAGAGTACCAACCCATGGGAGTTTCTCAGAATGTGGACCCCCTTTTGGTTGGTATTTAAACGCAAATAAACGGGAATCCAACCATTCCAGGGGACTCGTATTTTGAGCAACACCCACTCTGGGTGGCTCGCCTCATCGGAACGATTTCCTTGGTGCGATAGGTTAGAATGACCCCTACAAACCATCCCTTCTCGTTTCCTCTAAGGAAATCCCCAGGTCCATTCCAACTCGTTCCCCATTGGAAGGGGATGAATGAGTTCGACAGCACCTCGGTTGCTGTCTGCTCCCCTGCTAAAAGTTTAACTTTTAGTGGTTCAATGGAAAGTCCCATTAGTTGGCAAAAAGTTAAAGTCCTAACCTCCAAGCAAAATGCACCTCTGGCAAGTTTGCTCCCCTTCCTTCCCTCCATCTGAAGTGCGTCCGTCCGTCCGTCCGTCCGTCCGACCCGCGCGCGCCTGCGCGCGGGGCATCTCCGCCAGCAAGGCCACGCCCTGCGCCCAAGCTGCGCGCGCGGCGGACTCCGCGCGCGCCAGGGCGGCCAGGCAGCTGTTGAAGCCTTGGGACGGCTCGGCGACGATGGGTTTGGTCAGTGGGACAAAAAAAAAGTGGAACCCACCTATGTCGAACCAAGTCTAAGGACACATGTGGAACCACCCACCTACTTCTAACCAAATTAAGCTAAGGACACCATGCTTGGGGATTTTAGACCCATGGGATCTAAGAAATGGTTTGAAAGGATGCGAGCAACACATAAGCAAGTACTGGAGATCGTTGAACCTGTTGAGAACCCGTGACAAAATGGGTCTGAGACCTGTAGACGGTACTTGGTTGCTTGTCGCCTAGCTGTAAATGAAATTGCTAGTTGCCCAGCTTAAAGCCCACAAATAAGCCCGAAGTAGCGTGGAGTTGGGGGGCTCTCTTAGGTGACTTGCTGCCTCCCAATATGCAACTCAAAGCTGAAGGCTTAGGGCTCAAAATGTGGGGGGGGGGGGGGGGGCGTGCTGGGTTTTGAAATCCCTTTGAGGTCAGCTACATGTTGCCCATCGCCGAATTCAACTGAGGGCTCATCTTTGTGGCTGCGTCAAGAAGGCAAGGGGCTGCCATCATCGGAAATGTCCAGTCGCCTTCGTGAATGTGTCAGGTCAAAACACCCCTTTGCTTGGGGTTAATAGGGATGGTCATCCAGCTGCTCGGAAGGATCGTTAATCACAATTGTCTTGTCCTTTTTTATGCGCATATCCCAACGGTTGAGTCTCAAATTAATTGCCTTGCCCAGCTCTTATTGCGGCCCTAGGCCTGATGCGAACGCGAGAGGTGAAGAAGGATTTCTAGTAAGGGAACCATGACCATATGCCATAAAGCAGTTTTGACCATTGCTCATTTGCGGCAAGCAGCTTTTTGCTGCAGAGCCTTCTTTGTGTCCAATCCCATCGCTCGTTTTGCCATGATCAAGTCCGTATGTGGATAAACCATGCTCATGGCTTTGTCAACTGGAACCCTTACAACAGTTGTCGGAGGGGAACAAGAAAAAGGCAAGGCTTCTCCTCCCACCCTTTTCACATGGAACCTGACGTTTGGGCCTGTGACCCGGTCCTTCTCAAGGAAAATGGCCCAAACCAGGACCAAATGATTCCCCGGTCAGCCTGTCTTGTTCCATGTGGCGGTCCTTGCCCTTGTAAATGGAACCAAGGACTAAAACCGAAAAGGTCCACATCCTGGTTAAATTTTGACCCATACCCATGTGAAAAGGCTTGGAGGGCTACAACTTGCATCCCGGCAACTGCTGGCATTGGGCTGCAGCTGGTCCCTTCGGATGAGCTGCCTCGGGATATAAACGCAGCCAAAGCGATCGACACGTGCCATGACCAAACGGTACCCAACATGGAACCAGTTTCCAATTCCTGGCTGCAACTTTCCGAAAAAGGAAGAACAACAACTGGTGAACCAGCTTCCAATTCCTGGCTGCGGCTTTCCGAAAAAGGGGGAAACAAATACTGGTGCGTTCCACGTGGACCGGGGCTCAGGGAGGTAATTCTCGGCTTCAGCAGACCTGGGTTTTGGAACATCTCCGGCCTTTGATTCTCGACGTTCAGCTTCCCTCTGATGTGGTTTGGACGCGCGGCTTGGTTAAGGAGGCGTTCCCCATGTTCCCTGTACGAGAACCAGGCATCCGTTCAAACCCCTAGTTCCCACCAATCCAAACCAGATTCACCAACAAAAGCCACCGGCCTGCAGGGGTCGACCCAAAACCCGTGAGAAAGAAAGCGGCAGAAGACAAACAGATCCTGACTCAACGATCCTCACTCAACCCGGCCAGCCACATCCGGAATGCTCCCTGGTGGTTTCCCTTTAAAGCCACGAAAAAACGGGGGGCACCAGGCACCAGGCCGGAGCTGCTCCACCCATTCTCCTCTCTTTTTTCCTGGGGTTTGTCTGGGGAAGGGGCCTAGGCGATGTGTCCTTCCTTGGGGCCGCGGAAGGTAACCCTCCACGGTCGGTCCCATAAGACGCATCCAAAGCAAAGCTGACAGTACCACGAGGAGTTGTGGTGATGAACAACGCATGAACCAGCAAACCCATAGGAGACCGTCAGCCGAGACTACAGGATGAACTCCACTGGACTTAAAATGATGTTCAAACCAGCCCCAAAAGCATCCTCCCCCCTCCTCCCCCCTCCTCCCCCTCCTCCTCCTCCCCCCCCTCCTCCTCCTCCTCCTCCTCCTCGCAGCCTTACCAAAATGACCACCCCCCCGGCGCCCGGGGCGCAGGATCTGCAGTGCCTCTTGCCAGTGCCGCTCCCGCGCGCAAGCAGAGATGGTCGCATTGTAGCCTCGCATCACACGACTCCACGACTCGGGGCGACTCGGGGCGACTCGGGGCGACCGGGCAGGGGTTTAACCCACGGGTTGGGGAAAACCCACGGGCGTTGGTCGTCTTGTACATGCAGAGCACCGGGATCTCAAATGGCTGTGGGTCAAAAACATGTACCAAAATGGCACCCTGGCAAATGGAACCAAAGACTAAAACCTGCGCAAGCCCGGCTCTTAAGTCTTGAGCCACGCCCAAATGGCACCACCGGTTCTCTTTTGATCTCCCTTTGCCAACCAGAGGTGCTGGGCCTCAAAGCTTCCCAATTTTTGTTCGGGGAACTTCCCATGACACCCCTGCAACAAGAGAGCCACGTACTCTGCTTGGCGCTCCCCGTGACATCTCCCAATGGGCATCCAGACAAAGACCGCGACAGCGTGGAGGCTGGTTAAATCCTGAAGGGAAACTACAGGCAACCCTCATCCCACATTTAGAATGAGAAACCCTCTTTGCTGAAAGGAAACGGCAAGCTAAGCAAGCTGCCTTGAGTAATGCCGTTGTTGTTTTGTGACATACCTGTGTGGCTGCACGGATGCCAGCATTGCAGTACGCAGCAGAGACAAATCTGGCCGTGTTTCAGAGAGTTCAATAAGCCAATCTGAAATCCCCGAGACTGAATGTTGGTCTCTGTTGTGGATACCTTCTCAGGCTCATTTCAGCCAATCAGCACACAATGTGTGTTTGTGCGTGCGCGCCCTTGTTTGGGTGAGAAGTCAAGGGGACACAACCCATTTTGGGATTCCATAAAACGAAAGGTACTCCCAGCCAGTTCCTCACTGCTGCACCTCCAAAAAGTTGAGTCAAGAACGCTTAGTTGGTCTCTTCGGTCGGGTTTGTGTACTCCACCCTGGCATGACTGGGGAATGCTCCAGAATCGGCTAGTTCCAAAAAAAAAAACGCCATTTCGGGCCACAAGTCATTTCACAGTCAAAATCAGACTCATTCACGTGGCAGCTGTTCCAAGCTAGCCGGAAAGAAAATTGCGCCAGCGCGACCAAAGCCCTCAATCACATCCCGCGGATCCCGCCAAAGCAGCCCAGCACGCTGGGCTTGGGCCCTGTCCTTAGCTGCGCAAACACCAGGACCGCTCGCATGGCAACTGTGCGAGGCGCCTGCGTTTGAAAGCCCCAGAAAAAGCGGAAAGGCAGCTGCGACTTTGCGCCTTCCAGATGCACCAAGTTCCCAGAACGAAAAGCTGTCAGGAAGGATCAAGTTCACACGGTCAGGGGTTCTTGCTTCTAGCGGCGGCAAATCAACCAGCCAGCCCCAGCCACCTATATTAAATATCATCACCTGGCAAGATAGTACGCGCATTCCTCCTGCAAGTCGCAAAAACAATAAACAAACGCCAGGCACCGAAAACGCACCCTGGGAATCCGGTATGTTGCCGAACAGAAATAGTACCATAGGAGAAAAGTTCGAAAACCAACTCAAAAGGACTGCAACGAGCGCCCCACCTGCCAGTCAACAAACGACTCCTCGTCCTTATGTCGTGCCAAGAATGTGCCGGGAGGAGGCGGGGGGGGGGGGGGTTGGGATTCACCAAAACGAGTGGGTTCACCCAAATGAGCTGAAAAATGAGGTTCAACCAAACTGGAAGCTTCGGGGGGGGCTACAATAGACCATTACCACAAGGTACCTGTTCGCACGGGATAAGGTACCCCGGTTTCGGACTTCAGGGGGAGTCACCAAAACGGGTTCCCCGCTTTCGGCCCCGCGCGATGAAGCGCCTGATTCGCTCGCCGTGCGTCTCCAGCTGCAACCGCACCAGGGCCTGCCGCCAGTGACGCGACCGCTGGCACGCCACGAGGGCGCGGCTCCTGAGCTCGCGGCTCGCTTTTGGAAGCGGATGGTCGCGAAATCCATTTCGCACCTTGAAACCAAATGCCCCGAATGCAACCCTGGTAAATGGAAGCATGGACGAACACCGGCCCATATTTATCCTGGTTTGATTTTGACCCACACCCATATGGCTGTGGGTCAAAACCGTGTTGGGATCCCATGTTGGGGGTTTTCGGTGCACCACCCATTTTGGAACCTATTGGTTTCAAGTGGGTGGATTGGGATGTTCACTGGGGGTATGGGCTTTTGACCCATGGCCAAATCCATTTCGCACCTCTTTGAAACCAGGGGAAACTATACCGTTTGTTGGTATTTACAGGGGAATCATCATGCCAGGGCTTTGAAACCATGGTTGAAACCACACCGTTTGTTGGTAGTTGCAGGGGGGTTAACGGTATAAACAGAGGGCATCATCATGGTAGTTACGGGTTTGTTGGTATTGACAAGGGGATGTTCTTCTCATTCCAGGGCTTCTTAGGTGGTGCTCGAAATGGATTTTGTCCATCCACAGTACCAACTGAGGATTGGTTTGGTGGTGTAAGCAACAGTGGTTCTAGGAGTACCTTCCCCATTCTTTCCAGGGATCCTTCTTTCCAGGAAACCATCAAAACGCAGGGGAAACAGATCCGGTTTTTGAAAAGAACGATGGTTGAAAAGAATGGAAAAGGAATCAACCCCTAGATTCAGCCGTGGTTCTTTTCAAAAACCAGCCATTTCCCCAGGGTTTTTGTTGGTTTTCTAGAAAGAAGGGGGAATCAACCCCTAGAGTGGTGTGGTTCAAAAGAAACACCGGAAGCTTCCACACCGCTGCTTGGTGGCTTGGTCTCAGTGGTTTAAGCCATGACTCTCCAAAGGCTTGGCCCAATTCTGCCCCAAACCAACCCCAAACCCACCCTAAATTGTTTGGTAGTTTGGTGTGGTGGTGTTTTCTGCCCCACCCTAATCAGCTTGCCCTTCGGTGGTTTGGTGTTCAAGTTCTTTTTTTGTAGACCCTGTGGAACCAGGCGAATTCAAACCCAACCAGTTCCCACAAATCCAAACCCCCAGTGTTGGTGTGTTGCCTGAAACCTGGCTCGGAAAATAAAGAAATGACATTGAACCAAAAAAGGGGAAGCAGAACAACCCTGCACGGGCGGCGAGTTGGTCTGGGCCTTGTCAACTTGGTGAGGAGTTGCTCCCTCCAGATTCATCCGACATTCTATCTCAAAACCGGGGGCCAGGTATGGTTCATGTTCATCAGGAAAGGGCATTCACCATATGGAGTCCCCTTTGCAACACACATGTTTGTCCACGAAACTCCTGTGCTTGTTCTGGTTGGCTCGGGGAATTTAGAGGGAACCCGAGCATTTGGGCGACTCAACCCCTAAGGAAGAACCAGGCGACAAGTCGTCCGCGCCAGCCGCCGGATCGTCCAGGGTAATGAAAGCCGCCTGCCAAAACGGCAGGCGGCAGTGCCGCTTGAATCCCTTCACGTGCAGAACGGGCTCCTAAAAACTCGGCACGTGGGTAGGTGTCACACTAGAGAACGTTGCCTTGGAGTTGCGCGATGGCCACAAAACGCTGTCTGGCAGCTTTTGGCGGGTGCTTCACACTGATGACGTCGAGCTGGGACTTTTTTTGACAGGGAGCCACTGGTGGCGAAGCTCCCTTGTTTCAACGGGACTTTTGTCGACGAAAGGGGAAGGCAAACTCTAAAACTCTTGGTATGGTAGCAAAACAAGTCTTTTTGCACCCCCCCCCCCCCCCCGCAAAAATGAATAAAACCTAGAAACAAAAAAAAAAAAGCAAACAAGGACTAGATTTTAGGCAAACTTATTGGGCGTTTGGAGTCCAAACAAGTTCAGCCTGCATTTCTGGGTGCGATCTGCTTGCAAGACCTTAGGTCTCCGGCCAGCCCCTGCGGCAAAGCCACAAACTTGATGAACACATCTACCGAGTCGCCACGGTCACGAGTGGTTCAGGGCCAGGAGTGGTTTGGAAAACCGAAAAGCAAGAGAAAGCCAACCATGTGCGGATGTGACTTGGCAAGCGAAACCATACAGCTTGAGGAAGTCAAACAGTACTTGAGAACTGCAAGGCCGCCAATCAAACCAACTCAACTAAAGCAGCACATGATACCAAGAAACAACACATCGTTAAAGCCGCTCAGGAACCCCCCAAAGCCCCTCGTCACATCAGAAACGCAGCCGCCCCTTCCTGGCCTCATCGCTCGACATCGGGCACGGCGTCGCTTGAGCCACGTGAGCCGCAGTGAGCTGCTGGAGCCGTGACGGGTGAAGGAACGTTGCTTGAGCGGCTCCAACTCGCAAAATGTCTGCGGACAACATCCTGCACCACCTGGAAGGCGGTGTATGCCAGTATTTATCGTGGTTCATCGTGCATCCATCCCAACTGGCGCAGGAATTTGTCTATCAGCATCTTTTTGGAAACCCCAAAGAAGCTTGCCAAAGCAGAGGGTTTGAATACCAATAGGCATACATGACGATGGAGTCTGTATGCGCAATGCCCTGGAAAGAAAAGGCAAGGAGCCCTTCATGGGGTATGTCAAATCGACACACCTCCAGGTTTCCTTTTGTCCTTTTCTCCCTTTCAACATGTCCCCAAACTTGGCCCAATTCTGGGGCACACCAAACATAAGTCCTGAGTCTGCTTCATATGTGGTCCACCGTAAAACTGAAACAATGATGCTGAAGGAGACACCAGAAAGCTCCCGGCAACCTGGAAAACATACGTGTCCCTGTCAGCCTGCGGCATATCAGACTAACATTTTTTCAGCACCAGACAGACCGTTGGGGGTTCCTTTAAGCACGGTCCGCGGCTTGAGCCAAGACCCGTTTGAAGCATGTGACATCGAACAAGTCCTCTCATCTTGATCCAGACCATAGGATCCGAATGGCAAACCATGAAGCACGGGGCTAAGGTCTTTCCTCGCATCCTAAAAACAAACAAACCACATCCCAGCACATCCAACCACATCCCACCCTGTGAACTGCGATACATAACAGGGTGTCCAGCGCAAAACATGCCGTGTTCAGGGCATCCATGACCCAAACAGCCGTCCTCAAAGAGGGCGTAGTAGATCCTCGGCGCTGGGAAGCCAAAAGGCTTCGCGCAACGCGCAGGGTCGAGTCGACCTCCCGATTTGTAGAAACGCAACTGGTGACCCGGGGAAGCCCGGGATGTAGAAGCCTGGAAATCCCACAATAAGATCAATTTGCTGCTGGATTCCATGGAAACTATCGCCACTTGAGGTTCCAAAAGGAAAATGGAGGAACCCCTGCCAGAACCCATCGAGGCCGACAGACCGTGGAACCAGTTGAAGGGACCTCGAGTGATGGGTGAGGACTTGGCTTCCCGAGCGGCACACCAGAGGGTCAATTTGAGGAACCCCCAGCGCACACATTGGGGGACCCCTCCCCCGCCCCCCCCCAAAAAAAAAAACATGTGTGGTTGTCCTTTTGGTTTCCGTGTAAAGCCACAAACACACGGCGCCCCTCAAAAAAAGACGAGCCCCCCATTTCGAGACACACTCAAACGCGCTGCGGAGAAAAAAACACCGTCCAGGTTCTCGCGCCAAATTCCGTCGGGCGAGTGCCCTGGTAGCCTACTTCCAAGTTCTTGACTAGGGGCCGGAAGGGACTGAAGGGGACTGAAGGGGACCGAAAGGGAGTGAAGAGAAGGGTCAGTGGAGTTAGCCTCGTTGGTGTGGCTATTGTTTTTACCCAAGTGCCCCAGGCAGCTCGCACGCCGGCAAGTGGCCAAAGGTAGATGTAGCGGCGCCAGAAGCGCTTCTGAAGCACCTGAGTGCAGGATCTGGCTGCGCAAACCAAGAAAAAGAAGGAGCATCACACCCGAACGCCCAGTTGCCCAGTTGCCCCGGTTACCCAGTTACCCCATGAAAGTGTGTGTGTGTGTGTGCCCTAGATATATGGAAGAGCCCTAGATATGTGGAAGGGTGTGTGTGACTGATCAGTGTGCCTGCTTTGCCAGGGATTTGGGCGCTGCTCACCATAAGAAACTACGACCCTGCGCGTCTCCCTCGATGGCCTTCCAAGTTAGCCATCAGGAGCCTCAACATGTGCATCTGGTGGCATTGACCCCCCACGGATCTCTCCGAAGCCGCCAAAACCCGGGTGCTGAAGCCGATTGCCCATGGTTAACTTGGCTGTGACCAGCCTCTCCCCGGGATGGCACTGGGGCCACCCCACCGGCGGCTTGTGCGGGATGGCACGCTCATAGGTCTGACAGCGGAAAGTCCATCACTCGGTGAAAATGCAAACACGTGTCCAAAAGTTGTCTCTAAATAGAGCCCAAAACAAGTGGTGTCCGTGTTGGCTTCCCGCAAGCATCCCAAAAAGGATGCTGGAGCTACCGCACGTCTTCGGAGGCTCGGCCTCTCGTATCCTGGTCACGTCGCCGACGCTTTCTTCCAGGCGCACATAATCAAACCTCGGGGCATAGGCCAAGCTCTCACACGCCGAGAAAGAAGGGCGGGTGATTTTCTTGCTGCTGGGCAGGGAATGAGGGAATGACCCCTATAAACCATCCCTTCTGGTTTCCTGTAAGGGGACCCACCTGTTCATTCCTTCATACCCTACCTATCGCGTCAGCAAGTTTTGAGGGTACCCTTTTACCTCTCTCGATTCCACGACCCAGGAGAAAGCCCAGGAAGGTCCTTTACTTGGATCTCTCCTTTTTGACCGTACCCTTCTTGTGAGAAACCGACAGGAAAACCGAGGCCATTTTGGGGGTGACAAGTCCCTTCTGTCAACACCGCAGTGGCACCTCCCGTATTCTGCCACGGCAAGCCGCGTGCGTTCTGCAAAACATGGGGAACCATGTCAATAGATCATGAGCCAGTCCAATCACCGAGGGACTGGCAACCGGCATCCTTCACGATGGATTTGATCGCATCCCGATGAACTAATCGAGGCCGAAAGACAGAAGCCTTTTGGGCATAGGTGTCCTTCCGGTAAAATAGATGGCCCTGGTAAATGGAATAAACCAATCTACACCAGGGCGTCTACTTCTATCCGAACCAAAAAATGACACCTGAGTCACAATCACAAAACCTGGCACTGTAAGGAATGAGAAAAGAAAGACGAAATTCTGCAGCCTTGTATGGTAAGGGGACTATCCTTTAACCGTTCTCTCCCCGAATTTTGCCCTCCGAATTTTGCTCCCCCGACTCGACCTGGGCTGGAGGCCACACATCGTAGTTCCTGGGGTTCTTGCTCAGGGCGTCCTGCGGAGCTCCGTGAGGTCATGACAAAGATTGATTCGTTTTGAGAGCAACAAGCATCCTGTTCCAAAATCAACTTGCTCCTCCAAGTCCTTCAAAGAGGGATCCATGGAGGAAATGGGTAGAACGACATGCGTGCGGTTTTCTTCTATGCAAACATGGCAACGAGAACAAGAAACTGACCTTCCGATAAGCCATGCGAGCAACGGGCAATATCCATCCTGATCTGCAAAGGGAAGAACATTGAGCTTCTTCTCCAAATTAGCAGGCTCACCATATAGCCAATTGGCGCCGCAATCAATCAGCACTCCCTATATGTCCTTCTTAACATCACCCCACAAGAAGGAACACACAACTAAAGCTGGCCTAAAGAGTGATGTGCAAACTGGCTCAACAAGGAAAACCAGCGCCTCCAATTTGAATGTCGCATGTGCTGGACAGGGGGAGACTTGGCCCTTTGTTCCAGACTAAGGGCCATGATTTTCTAGATGGGCGTTTCGAAAGTCGGTGTTTTCCATTGGTGATGGCGCAAAGAGGAAAGTGTCCTTCGTTTTAAAGCATGCTACGCACGGGGAAAAAAACTCTTCTCCAAGCCGTTGGGCAACGCATCGGCTCCAGAAGGATCTTTCTTTGCATCTTCTTTGGACTGGTTCTGTGGATTGGCCCGGTGCAAGAGGCACAAAGAATCTGTCTTCATATCCTTTCCTCATCACTTCGGAAATTCCAAGGAAAAGGACCAGCATGCCATGTCTTTGCAATTTTCTTTGCAACAGTTCCCTGGATTGGCCCGAAAAACCAAAATCAAAAAAGGTCAACCGGGGCCATGGCGTGCATTCAAGTTGCCAGGTGCATTTTGCCGGCCGCATGCTTCGCCTGGCTTTCGTTTGGTTTCTGTCAGATACTGACAGAGCTCCTCATAGATGTAGCGCCTCTTGTTGATAACAACCTGGGGCGTTCATTCCATGTCTGGCGAAATAGCGGATTTGGACCCTTAAAGGGTGTGTCGTTTAAAGAAGGGGACCGAAAAGTCTGGGTGTCCTTTTGGTGTCCCTTTAAAACCAAAAAAGGGCACCCTCAAAAGTTGACACACCCATATTGCGCTGTTTAAGTTCTTCATTGGGGTTTCTCAAAATATTGGTCACCTAGAACAATTGGTATTTTGATGTTCCTTCAACTACCTAAGAAAATCTCCCCTTTTGAGAAAACTCCCTCAGACTGATGGGACCAAGCCTTCCATTTCGGGGTCCTGAAAAAAAATCCATCTCAGCCGGAGGGAAACCCCCCAAAAAAAAAAAACCATCGGCGCCGGGAGCCCCCCAAAAAATGGCCGGAAGCCCCACCTGGTGGTTTCGGGCCCTTTCGGGCCCCAAACCTCAAGGCGCGGGATTTGCCAAGTCCGAAATCCGACGCCTCGCCGCAAGCTTCGGACCTTGACCCAAACAAAGGGAGGTAGCTCATGGGACACCACCTTTTTTCTCCCCACACATACCCTAAAAACGGGGGTATTTGGAGTACGGTTGGTGCCCCAAGTGGACAAACAAATCGGCACCGGAGGAAATTCTGCGACTTGAGAGACCCCAAAAAGGAAGCCGTCAACATCTTCCGACCCCGGTACCAAAGCCCTACAAAAAGCCGGGGGTGTTCGGATGGATGCACTTTTCCTCATTGCTTCACAACCCAAATGTCAACCGTTTTCAATGGTAAACGCCTTGTTTGGGTTACACTCTTCAAAGGCGACTCCTCCAACTGACTGGCTTCACCCTTCAGTTCCCCCCAATCCCGGCAGGCTAACTTGTTTGCTAGTGGGGTTCCCTTTAAAACACTTACAAATGTTCCCATGGAACTGAAAAGCAACTTGGTCCCCCTTTTTTGAAGATTCCTCTTGTTACACTGTAGGGGAGTCACCAACCAAATGACCAAATGGGTATGGGTCAAAATCAAACCACCAGGGGACCACAGGTTTTAGTTCTTTGTTCCATTTACCAAGGTGCCATGGTGGTACATGGTTTGCCGCAGCCAACTGCGCTGCTCTCAGATCCCCTGCTAAAAGTTTGACTTTTAGTGGGTTACATGGAAACTACCAGTAAACCGTAAAGACCAAAAAATCCAAGGAACTGGATGGCTGGGAGCTACCAAGCCAAACGGTAATTACCACCTCTGAAGAACCAGAAAACATCCCAAAAGACAAGAGGTGCCATTTCTGTACATGGTTTGGACCCACAGCCAAATGGTACTAGCTCCACAAACCAAAAAATACAACCCCGGAAAACCGGAAAACGTTCTAGGGGTTGATTCCCCATTCTGTTCAACCGTCGTTCTGTTCAGGTGTTGTCTCCAAAAACCGTCTGATGGTTTCCTGAAAAGAAGGATATCTGGAAAGAATCTCTATATATATATATATTAAACAAAAAAACAACAACTGAAACGAATTGAATAGAATAAAAACCCAATCTCCAAACAGAAAGCAGACTATTTAGAAACATCCTCCCAAAACTCCAAAAATACGGCCCCAACTCCAAAACCAGAAAAATGGTACTAACTCCAAAAACCAAACAAGTACATCCCTCCCCGCCCCTCCTCAAAAAAAAAATGTTCCCTCCCCCCCGAAAAAAGGAAACAAGAGATAAAAACCACTAAAACAACTCCGAACAACCAAAAAAACATCCCCCAAGCACCTTCCAGAATTTGGTCCGGCCTCCTCGATGGCATCCCGGTCCCCGTGCTGCTTCTCGAAGGACACATAGGCGCGGTAGAGCTCGTCGCTCGCGCCTCGAGAAAAAACCAAAAGGGCGGGCTTTCCGATTCCCCAAAAAGGGAATCTGGCTTTCCGATCGTGGAACCTTACCTCGCCGCCCCGGGGGTGGGGGTGGGGGGTCGAGCCAAGGATTTGCTAGAGAGAACCAGACAAAAGATCTGGCTGGCTTAGAACCCAAAGAAGCTTACTTAGCTGCTAATTTAATAGCTGTCATATTGCAATTTGTCCCAAAACTAGTGCTCAAATCGTGCTATCCATGTTTTGTTGTTTTTTTGGGGGGGAGTCGTCAAAGGAAAGAAGAGACTTATGGAAACTGGGGTTGCGAACTCGACAAGCCCATGCTTCAGCCATGGTCCCGACTCTCGATCACAGATCCCAGAAAAGACCGCACACGTGGATTGTAACATTTGTGGGGGGCATTGAATACAACATCTGCCCAAAGTGCAGTTGGCCCTTTGAATCTTGTCCTCCGGTGTCCTTGGAAGGTCTGAAAAGGGGTCCATAGTTCAGACCAACCACCCGGCACCTTGCTTTGCCTACTTCCGGAAACAGAATTGTAACCCAAGAAATCAAAGGCCACATCTCCTTTTCAGGGTCCTTCTTATAGGGAATGTGTGAATGAACCCAGGGGTCCCCTCAAAGGAAACCACCCATTCGATGGTTTTTCTTTTGTGATTCCATTTCTCATTCCCTGCATCTCTCGCACCGATCGCAAGTTCAGTGGTCTTATTCTTGCCTCTTCCCGAGCAACTCAGTGCTGACCGCAGTGCCGTCTCTCAAAGCAATATGGTGGTTTCCCTTTCAAACCACACTCCATCCAGAAGGGAAACCAAAAGGGACACCAAAAGGAAACCATTCTCAAAACTGACCGCAGCAATCTGGACCGGAGATTCAAGAGATGGCAACACTCAACCGCAGTACCAGCTCATAGGGATTTCTGCCGTATTTGACTGAGCTCAGAATCCATCCCACAGTGGCAAAGAGATCTCAAAAGCCATCATGACTTGTGCCAACAATCATGTTGACCATGTGAATTTCAATGCGCGGGTCTCCAAGAAAACCAATCAGGGAACCCTGGGCCTCTAAGCGAGCTCCATGTTTAGGCCTTGTCCTAGGCTCTCAGCTTCACCCACAAGGCAAGCTCCATGCGAAGGCTTGCGATCGAAGCTCTTCCAGCCCTGCCTTTCGGCAGAATGTCCAGCGCCAACTTGAAGATCGCCTGACCGGAAGGCGAGTTGCCAGTTGATCACCCGTAGGAAACTCAACAGGTGGCGGCCTGGTGGAAACTGTCCAAAACGAGGGAACATAGGTGCCTCTGTCCCAAGCAGCCAGCAAAACCGAGATCGTACTGCTTGACCAATGGAAGGATACAGGAATGTGCTGCTTGATCATTGATGCAAAACCAAGATGTCAGGGCCACTGAGGAATCGACTCCTGAAGCCACACCGAACAAAAGAAAACAGACTTACTCCAAACCATGCCGCCCTTGCGCTGCCGAACGAAAACAACACACACACACAACAAACAAACAAACAAACAAACAAACAAACAAACAAACAAACTGGTCACAACCTTTGCCGCGGTCAACCCCAACAGATAGAGGCGTCAGCGGTTTTCGGGTCTCGTGTGCCCGGAAGAAAAAAAAAAAAAACTGTGAGGTCCTTTCAGGTCCTAGGTCCACCCATCCTGGGCGCGCTCCATCTCCCTCTGACGCTGTTCAAAGAGGGCAA